TTTCTGCTAATTCTCTCAGCGACGATGATGATGAAAAATAATAGGCGTAGATGTGAGATTAAGAGAGAATTGTTAAAATGAAAAAAAAAAAAAAAAAATTATGAATTGAAATGAATCTAACTCTGTGTTTTGTTATTCTTACGTTTGTTACAAAATATGCACAAACTTGTAAGAAGTCTGAACTGAAATCTCTATATGATTCTCAATTTTACGTGTAAGATTGCATCCAAGTGTTTCAAAATGTTCTCTGCCATCAGAACAGCGAAAGTGTTATGACATTATTTCATCCTTACCAACTGCACGAACCAATCGTCCGACGTTGACATCAAATTGAAAGTCTGATAACGAGCTTACCGATAATTTTGAATTCGTAAATGTCGTCCTGGATCAAGATGATCTTCAGCTTGCTCGCTTGAGCGGTTAGAGCGTACAGCGAGTCGACCACAATGGCACCGGTGGCGCGTAGCAAGTCCTGAAAGAGGCGATATCTCTAAAACTTGGCGAGCATTCAACTTGAAATGGTGTAGCAAAATTGGATGGCAGAGGAAACGTAAATAAAAGCCTTTCTTGGATTGGGAATCTGACAAGGGTGACTGTGTCTACCAGTACTAACACGCGAAACCTATAAAATTTATACGCCTGATTTAGAGAGGCAATCCTCGTGTAATAATGCTCGAATTCGAGAGTCATTTTCCCCGCTTTATTTCCTTTGTTTTCCGTTGTTTTCTACTATCATCTCGATAATTTGAATTTGGAGAACCTGTGAGATTTTATATACGGAATTGTTCGCGTCATTTGCGAGCATATTCGTGTTTCATGTGAAACGTTTCTGTCACTTTGGCTACAATCACACTCGTTTGAAACGAATTTGAAAATGTATATACGTGCAAGTGTAAATGTGTTTCGTGGAAATCGCAGACATTGAAATAGTGTTTCAACGAGACCATTTTTGATATTATATTTATCATACGTTTAAGATGGTTATTCATATTGTGTCTCGCAATCGATAAAAATTCCTATATATTATAATTCCTACATATATATTTTCAAGTCTGACCAATGTGAATCATGATATTCGTATCTCGTCTTACCAATATAATTCCCCACGACGAATGTTCAAACATTCTACGTCACTGCGTTTAAGCGAATTCAAAGAAAGACTGGAAGAATATATTGAAAAACATAAAGGAAGAGTACACGTGTCACTCTACCTCATCATCTTGAAAATTTGGCGAGGAAACTTTCGCTGGAAACATTTCTTCCAAACAATGACGATAATACAGATAGAACAACGTTACAAGAAGATCAACTATGCTCACCTCATATTGCTCCACAGAAACATTGACGTACGGCCCGATACAGTGGAACACGAACCCCTCGAACAAACCCTTCTCCCTTAACCGTGACTTTCGAGGGCCTGCCTCCAAAGTCCTGCAGTCCACCACTTCGTAGAACTCCTCGTTCACGGCTGTGCCCTCCTTCAGCGAGTCTATCACCCACTGATAGTTCACGATCCACTTCCTGTGAACTATACCCTGCAGGTATTTCAACGTCTTGCTCGCCCCGTTGTTATTGTTGGTCTTCACGACTACGTGCGTTACGTTCACGTTGAATTGGGTGTGGTAGACAGCCTGCGGCAATGTTCTCGCCAATTTCTTCAACTGATCGACCTCGCCGGATTCCAGGCCGCTGCTCACGAAACAGTAACTCCGCCTGCTGTTACTTGGTACAGTTTGAACAGCGTTCA